GGGAGGGCGGGGTATAGGATCTCGGGCGCATTGTCGTTCTGGTCCAGTACGAACAGGCTCAGTGACACATTGCTGCTGAGGGGCGGGTCCCCGTTGTCCCGCGCCATCACTTTCACTTGCAAGTCCCGGAACTGCTCGTAGTCGAAGGAGTGCAGCGCATACAGTACTCCAGTGTCGGAGTTGATGGACACGTAGGACGACAGGGGCGCCCCTTGGATGGTGTCCTCAGCCAGGGAATAAGTGATCTGGGCGTTCTCCGCACAGTCGGGGTCGTGGGCGGTCATACAGAGGAGGGAAGCGCCTCTGGGGTTGTTCTCTGGGATATAGGCTGAATAGGAGGCCTGAGGGAAGACCGGCGGGTTGTCGTTGGTGTCTGCCACGTTCAGCGAGATGTGAGTTTCCGTGGACAGGGGCGGGGTTCCCCGGTCAGTGGCGGTCACTGTGATGTTGTAGCTAGGAACCTGTTCCCTATCCAAGACTATGTCTGTGACTAAACTATAGTAATTTCCGTAGGATTTTTCTAATTTAAAGGGCAGATTTCCATGGATGAAACAGATCACCTGTCCGTTTTCCTCAGAATCTTGGTCATTTACATTTAAAAGGGCAATTAATGTCCCTCTGGGAGAGTTTTCAGGAACGGAGCTGGTGAGAGAGGTGAGGACCACTTCTGGGGCATTGTCGTTCACGTCCAGAACAGTGATCAGGACTTTGGCACGTGCAGAATATCCTGCGTTATCCATTGCTTGCACTTCCATCTGGTAGAATCCTGACTCCTCGTGGTCCAACTCCGCTATTGTTGATATTATCCCTAAATTATAGTCTAGTTTGAAAACTTGGGCCGCCTTGTCGTCCACATACCGGAAGGAATACCTCACTTCCCCATTGACTCCTTCATCAGGGTCGGTGGCGTTGACTACCAGCAGCTGCGTGCCCAAGGCCACATTCTCCGGAACGCTTGCGCGGTACTCGGACTGAGCAAACGCTGGTGCGTTGTCGTTCACATCCATAACCATCACGCGGATGCGCGCTGTGCCTGTGCGCACAGGATCTCCCCCGTCCGAGGCCGTGAGGACCAGGTGGTGAGCGGCCTTTTCTTCGCGGTCCAGGGCGCGTTCCAGCACCAATTCCGGGTACTTATTGCCGTCGGCTCCATTTTGCACGACCAGGGAGAAGTGAGTATTCGGGCTGAGCTCGTAGCTCTGGAGAGAGTTCTTCCCGATATCCGGATCCCAGGCGTGGGGTAGAGGGAACAGCATCCCAGTGGCTGCGTTTTCACTCATTTTTATTTCTAATTCACTTTCACGAAAGTAAGGAGCATTGTCGTTAATGTCCCTTACTTCTATTTCCACTCCGTATATTTTCACTTTATCCTCCATCAGAATGTCAAGATTTAATTGACACTTGACAGCCCCCATGCAGAGCTCCTCCCGGTCTATCCTGCCCGCAGTGACCAAGCTGCCGCTGCGTGGGTTCAGGGCAAAAAGCTGCGTCCTACCTCTGGGGACGATGCGGACTCCGCGCTCCGCTAGCTGCTGGGGCTCCAGCCCCAGGTCCCTGGAGATGTCGCCCACCCTAGAGCCTTTCTCCAGCTCCTCCGGAACTGAATAGCGTATCTGGGTGCATCCAGTCTCCCACAGGGTCCCCAGGAAAACTCCCAGCAGGACCAGCCCTTTGCAGTCCCCATGCAGTCGCGCAGGAATCATTGTCACCTTCCTCCAGAATTATTTCCAATTCTGCCTTTAACCACTGAAGTCAGGAGCAGTTCTTTCACCCCTAGAATGGGGCAGTTGGGGAGTCAGAGCTCCTCCGTTGTTTCCTCATAGTCCCAGAGATGGTTCATTCCTATCTGCTTTGTGCTTCGGGCGCGTGCAAGGCGAGCAGGATCTCCACTTTTCTCTCCCGGATTGGTGAACAGCGGCGCTCAGAGTCGTAACCCATTACTGCACAATCTGGAACTCCCAGAAAGGATATTTCGTTTTTATACCTTAAATAGCTCCACCTACTGTTCTTCAAAAAGGGATGGAAATCTACAGTATTCTCTTTAGTAGAAACTTTAGTGAGGTTTTTTTTTCAATGAGCTTTTTTTCCCCACTGAGCTTTTAAATGAATTTGAAGTTTCTATACACAATAATTTGTATTTTAGAATTTTAGTGCATCTGCTTTGAGATTATTGTTCCTTCAATACACCTATTATGGGGGATGTCTCCCTAGGAGTTCCTCATTTTGACAAATCATATAACATAGTAAACTTTCTAATTCAGCTATAATTTGGGCAAACATTTTTCAATAGATTCCTTGAATGATCCTGAATGGAAAAATTAGTTTACCAGGTTGTTGACATTTAACGCTTAAAAATCAAATTTTCATGATAATATGAAAACCCAAAAATGAGATATGTGATTGTATACATTATCAGAATCACACTTAACACAAACCCAAGTGAAAAAGAAACATTAATATTTTTTAGTATAAAGTAGAAGCATTCCAACTTGCATTACCTGGAAAGAATGGTAGTACACCATGATTCTATTAATACATTATATTTCAAAAATATTTAGTGTGGAGGAAACCATTAAAAGAAAATTGGTAGTCCAAAGAACATTACAGACTTACCTTTTCCTGGGTAACTGACCTAATTGTAATTACTGAGAATTACTGGTAATACTTTTGGAAGCCCATTAAAATATAGGGAAAAAAATTCTTCTTAAGAAACAACTGGCTACTGTACTTTTATAAGTGGAAATATTTATACTGTGAGGATAAGATGTTTGATAGGCATAAAATAATATATTTATTGGAAAGAAATCTATAGGTAGCTGTGAGAAAAGATCAGACATAAAATCATGTTTGCTCAGATTACAAGAATCACAAGTAAAGGTACTTGAATATTATTATCAAATAATTACCATGTTCTTATTTTTTTAAGCTTTTTTTCTCTACCAGTGCCAGGCAACTGTAGCCTCAGCTACTCTGGAGACTGAAGTGGGAGAATCACCACAGCCCAGGAGTTTGAGTCCAGGCTGGGCAACACAGTGAGATCTTCATCTCATTTTTTAAAAGCATTTTCTCATGCATTTTCCTTGAAATCTACAGTTAATGGTTGAAAGAAAAAGCCTTATATACTCAAGGTATTGATATCCCAAGAAACATCACAGAAAAAAAAATTATTCTTCAATTAAAATATCTCAATGACAGCAGTATCATAGTACTCACTTCTCACACGTGTGTGTGTGTGTATAAAGAATGTCTCAGGTAAAAATGGTTAAAATGTTTCAAAAATACATTAAAGCTAATAATGAAGTTACTGGCCCACAGAGAAAGGAACTGGGCATATTAAGAGTAGACAAACAAACCTGAGGCAATAGTAGATATAATATGTTTAAGATTTTCTTGTCAAAATATTGGTTTGAAAATTAAACCACACTCATTTGTAAATGAAAAACATTCATTGGAACTCACGTGAGTAGGAGCGACAGAGTTAGAGCTTATCTTGTTATTCTCTTCAGTGACATTTGCTACTAGAGAAGCTTCATTAGAAATATCTTGTGGGGGGACCATTTCTGGCGTCATAGTGAGAAAATTATATCTTGTTTTTTGAGAATCCGAGGCAACATACAGATTGTAGGAATAAGGCAAACTTCCCTCATTGTAGTTGAGAGAAACCCCTGGTCTAGTCTTAGAACAGAGACCAGGCTGAAAGCAACCACAGGCAGAGGGGCCGGAGGAGCATCGCAGGTGCAGAGCGACCGCCAGAATCACCGCTAGGAAGAAGAGCACAGAAATCAAGGCCAAGGCCACCACCAAGTGAATCTGCAGCTCTGGGAACTAGAGGGCACAGGACTGTCACTGAAGTCTGGCAGTGCCTCCTGCAGGCTGTCTGTGAAGACCAAATGAAGCGTGGCCGTGGCGGAGAGTGGCAGCTGTCCTCCGTCACTCACAGCAACCAGCAGGCGCTGTCGGGCGGAGTCCCTGTCTCCCAAGGCACGTGCCGTGCGCACCTCGCCCGTGGCTGAAGAGCCCAGGCTCGCTGGCCTGCAGCACGTGGTAGGACAGCCAAGCGTTGTGTCCCGAATCTGCGTCCACCGCCACCCCCTTGGTCACCAGGTAGCCGGACTCTGCGGCACCATATCGAAGAGTGCGGAGCCATCGGGCGCCAGCGCTGGGTACAGCACCCGTGGCGCATTGTCATTGAGGTCGCCCACCAACACGCGCAGGCTCACGTTGGCGCTGAGCACGGGCGAGCCGTGGTCGCGGGCCTGCAGCGTGAGTTCGAAGGCGCGCAGCTGCTCGTAGTCGAAGGAACGCTGCGCGAACACCACCCCGCTTTGTGCGCTCACGGACACGTAGGACAACAGTGTCCGCAGCTCCAAGTCACTGGCAACAATGGAGTAGGAGACTTGGCCATTCAGCCCTAGGTCCAGGTCAGAGGCGCTGACTTGTGCGATGGAGGCTCCGGGAGGGTTGTTTTCTGCCACGTGGACCATGTAAGAGGCCTGGTGGAAAACCGGAGCGTTGTCGTTGACATCACCAATGCGTAGGGTGACGCTTGTGCTGGATGAGAGCGGAGGCTTGCCCCTGTCGGTGGCAGTGATGGTGACATTGTACTCCGGGGTCCGCTCCGGATCCAGAGTACCATCTGTTACAAGCTTATAGTAATTATTGGCAGAAGATTCGATTCTAAAAGGAACTCTTTCGTTTATGATGCATGTGACCTCTCTATTTTCCGCTGAATCTTTATCATGTGTTTTGAACAGAGCGATCGCGGTCCCGGGTTCTGCATCTTCAGTTACAGAACTGGACACCGAAGTAAAAACCACGTCTGGGGCATTGTCATTCTCATCTAGGATTTCTAGTATAATTTTACATTCGCGGGTCATGCCTCCACCGTCCTTAGCTTCTATGCTTATGGTATAACTGCTACGAATTTCAAAGTCTATAAAGTCTTTTAATTTAATTTCTCCATTTTGATTGTCTAGCACAAACATATTTCCAATATCATCTCGTAGGGATTTGAAAGAGTAAGTGATCTCTGCATTGATACCCTCATCCTGGTCAGAGGCTGTCACCTTTAGTACAGAGGTGCCTGGGGGCACATTCTCTCTAAGGCTGACTTTGTACACATCCTGGCTAAAAACTGGGGCATTATCGTTGGCATCAGTGACCTCAATTTGAATTGCAGCAGTGCCAGTTAGGACTGGGTCACCCCCATCCATTGCTGTCAGGACCAGGAGATGGAAGCTCTGTTGTTCCCGGTCCAGGGGCTTCTCCAACACTAATTCTGGAGCGTTCTTGCCTTCAGTCTTATCCATTGTCAGAGAGAAATGCTCATTAGAGCTGAGTTGGTAACTCTGGAGAGAATGATGCCCTACATCTGCATCTATAGCAGATTCCAGGCCAAACCGAGTGCCTGGAATTGCTAGTTCATTGATTTGTAAAACAATGCTATTTTGGGGGAAATGAGGTGGATTATCATTTATATCTTCTATCATCACATTTATGTGAAAAACATTTAGAGGATTCTCTGCTACAATCTCTAAGGGTATGACACACAGAGGATTTTGAGGACAGAGTGACTCTCGATCTATTCTGTCACTCACAAGTATGTTCCCATTCTCAGTGTTCACGGTAAAGTATTGTTTCTCTGCACTAACTCTAAGGTTTCGGGCCAATAAATCCTGAACGTGCAGCTCCATGTCCTCAACAAGGTTCCCCACCACTGAGCCCTGGACCATTTCTTCTGGAATAGAGTATCTCATCTGCTCCGAGAGCGCCCCACAGAACAAAGGCAGCAGGAAAGGAAAGAGTACTTGCCAATGCCGGGCCCCGGTTCTCTGCTTCACCCTGTTTCCCATCCTTCCCGTGCGTTGCTGCAGTCTCCGATGTTAAGAGAAAATGTTTCGCAAACTGCTTTTAAAATATTTAGTTCCACGAACAGAAAACTCAATGATTCCAGTTTGAGGGCATTCCAATCCCTATGGAATCAGATTTGCTGGAGCAGAAAGCCCAAGTCTGGGCCACTTGCCTTTCGACTTGCTTCTGCGACTAAGCACAATGTCGTCCTGGTAGATCCCAGGCTCCAGCTCTTGCAGCACATTGGCCAACAGCGGCGCTCTGAGTCTATTTAGAAAACTGCAGCCAGAAGCCTTTGCTAATTCAATAGGATTCAGAATTTAGACAGATGTGTTGGACTAATGTATAGGAAACTAGACACTTTATGAGTTTTGGATGTGATTATTTTCCAGTGTTTACTACCAAAGAAGATTCCTTAGAGACAGGATCCTATACAACAGCCATTAACCCAGTAAAGAAAAGTTAAAAGTTTTTCTAACCAGAAGCAATGCATATATTGGAAGAACTAGGCAAAGTCTTGTCTCCTGATGTAGAACCAAAACCACGCGGAAAACATCCCCACCAAGCAGCATGGGAAAATTTTGACCACTATGAAATGATACGCAGTAGTTTTTTCAATCTGATGTGCAGATAATTTTCCTCCTATTTTATCAGAGAAAACTGGAGGAGCGCTGAAAGCTATATAGGGCAGATTCAGAATAAAGATAGCCAAATCTTTCTTGTTACTTATAAAAGAGGTTTCTGAAGAGGATTATTAAGTGTTTTACACTTTTATCATAAAGAGAATATAAAGGTATAGCCTAGTAGGTTGCCATAGGAATTTAATAACATGAAATGTGAGGGCATTTTATTTTTATCCTCTATTTAATGGGACTATATGTTATACCTTAACAGAACTTTATCACTACCTCCAAATCAAAACAACCTTAATATCATGTTTCAAAGCCAACCCTTCCTTTTTGTTCTCCAAGATCTTGGGTGCAAGCTCCTAGCTAGTTTAGATTATTAGGTTTTAAAATATGGAACAATCTCCTTTTCCCAGCCAAATGCCTCGTATTGTTTTTATTTATCTAATTCCAGTCCAGGTACAATACCTTACATCATTTTTCTCAGTTTGGAATTCCATAAGTATAAATCCTGCCCCAGATGCTCAAAATACCCTAACATTTTTCTGGACTTCAAGACAATTTAGGCATCTGTTGGATGACTTGCCTTTCCTACAATTGAAATTATTTTTGTCCAAGCACTAGATAGTCAGTTTACAACTAATGACATAAGGTAAATTCCTAAATGAGAAAAATAAACTTGAAAGGGAACATTAAATATGTAAGTAATTTGGGACAAATATCTATAAGTGATGTGAGAATGTTGACTGAATTGATTATGGAAATGATTCCTGTGATCAAAAACCCTGGATAAGTCTCATTTCCTCATTTGGCTTTGCTAGACATTGCTTCAGATAACATGTACGTCCGGCAACTATCAAGCTTCAATAACAAGTTGGTCTGAATACAAGAACTGAATGTACTATTAGCCATAAGAATGACCTTATAAAAGAAAGAAAGAAGGAATCTATGACTCCCAGATATACTGAAAATGAGCAAAAAATAGCCAGAATGATACTAGCTAAATCAGTCTCATGAAGTCCAAATACCTACTTTCAATCTTATATATTCACAAACTACTCTATTTGAATAAATCTGTAGACATCTTAAGCACATTTGAAAACAGCTTTTTGAGAAGCACTGAATCAAAATCAAGTTATTTTGATATGTGGATTTACTACATTAAAAAACCTTCCATACATACAAACACAGACGCCAAAGTAAAAGAATAAAAGGAAAATAAAATAAAAGGAAATAAAAGAATAAATTTCAATAATTCAATTATTTTCTCAGAACAGTCACTGTAACTTCACTGCAGTAATGGAAAAGATATCTAGAACTTAAGAAAAAATGTGATATAAATTTTATCTCCCAAGAAAATCCAGTATTTAAAAGCCAGTCAATAAGTCTGTTTTGATAGGATGAAGAAATGAGAAAAAGTTCAAATAGTCAACAGGATCTAAGCATATTACCAGCCACCAAGAATCAAAATAGAATTGCTCAGAGAAAAGCTTACATGTATGAGTTTGTGTGTGTGTGTGTGTGTGTGTGTGTGTGTGTGTAGACAGGTGAGAAAGAGAGCTAGAGGAAGCATGTTATTAAATCAACAGGATCAAAATTTGAACATTAGCAGTAATAAATAATGGTGGAATGTAACTACAAATCAGTGGAGGCACTGCAGAATTGAAATTGAAATAAAAAGTTTGTAAATCAATTTGTATCAAAAATATATAATAAATTGATAGCCTCATAGACTGATAATAGAAAAATAATACTAAAATTCAACTTACTCCAAACCAAACCAACATAGTTGAATTGCCCCTTTGAAATCACAAGAAAATATTCCAGGGCTGAAAAATGACTTTCACAAAAACGTTTTGACAGATGATGGTAATCTCATGAAAGGCAAAGTACAACTCACATATATTTCTCTAAATATATATGAAGTAAATATATGCCCCCCCCAAACCAGTTTTCATAACAGGCTCAAAAAACATCTCCTTAAAAGACTTGTGTCAAGATGCTAACAATTAGGAGGCAGAGAAATAAATCTCACCTGATTACTTGTCGGGTCACATTTGCCTAAAACGATAGCTGAGTCTTCAGCTATTAAGAGTGGCTCGCTTTTCTCACAGCTCTCCTGGCTGATAAGCGTGTCTGCATAGTTGGG